GACACATCCCCTCGCCCATACTAAGAATAGTTACCCCCCCCCCCATCCGTACCAACACACACACCCCCAGGGTCTGACTTGCTCTAGCACTGAGTTGATCTTTAAAATATTTGAACCTTTAAGTAATGGTCCAGATAAGAAGGAAAGGACCAAAACGCAGTGAACACGTCGGAATGCAAAAAGGTGCTAACTTTACTATTGTCTCTACTAAGGTTCTGATTGGTTTAAACATCAAATTTTACGAAATCTTCGCAAAGCAGCATGTACATCAATCCTTTTTTTTCTATCCAACTTCCTTATAACAAAATCTCGTCTGAGTCTAAGTAACACAGAAATCGTATGTGCGGATCATCTAAAATTGTGAACATTTCTTGGCTATTGTTTGCAACTCTTGTGATTGGTCAAAATGTTTTAACACAAAAATACACCCTTTAAAAGTGGAGTTTAAATACATTTTCTTTCGTAAACAGCCTTTTTGTAGATTTATGCACTCTCTGCGTAAAAATGAAAACATTTCTATGTGAGGAAAGCGTATTGCGCCACAACAATAGAAATTGCTTTCCTTCTTACCTGGATCATTACTTAAACGTTTAGGCGGAATTATCTCAACTTATAATTTATTTCCTCCTCTTTTTGACTTCGCCTTTGTCACGGGTGTCAGTAAAACGCGGGGTCTGGGTCAGAGTCCATCTTTTTTTCTAAACAGCATTCTTTCGAAAAAGATAGACCCCGACCCGGCGTTTTATTGAACCCCTTTGTCACTGTCCTTTCATTAATTGCGCTTCTTCTGGGCGACATTACTGTAGAGTTCTTCTTCTCTTATTCTTATCGAGGACAATATATGTTGCAGTCGTCGCTACGAATAAGGTGGTCTAGTTATCCCAGAGAGTCTAGTATTAAACCCAGATACTTCAGCTGATACTTCATTCCGCCATAAATTTTGTAAACACCTATTAACTGAATTTCCTAGTCCTAAGCCAGCTCATATACTCTTTTTAACAAATTTCAAAGCATTTCTGCATTCTTGATTTAAGAAAGGGTTTCCAAAGTTGCCTTAGTCGTTTGTACTATTCTGGTGAACGAAAGGGAGATGCAGTCTGTACTCTTACAATTCGTTTTGTTTGTAAGTAAAGTTCTGAAGCTCTTTACATGCGAAAACGGCACTGCAGTTGGTTACGGAGACAATATACAATATAAATATTTGTAATTCCTATGATATCAAGACATTTCTTTCTCGCACGGCGCTATTACGGACTCTGGCTATTACGGACACTAAAGCTTCGGTCCGAGGCGGGAGTTGACTGTATTTACGACAACCTCGACGCAGTTATAATATAAGCTTATTCATATTTATAGCGTTATTGACCTACCTGCACAATTTTTCTTGACTCTTTCTAATTCATCTTTCCTTCGTGCCGAAAGCACCAACTTACAGCCATATTTAGCCAGTTCGTAAGCTAAATATTCACCGATGCCACTTGAAGCTCCAGTGATCCACACAACTTTCCCGCGCAACGCTACGGCGGGATTTTCACCTATCAATTCGTAAATCATGAGCACAAAATCTGCATCCTGATATTTCACGAGAAAGAAACACACAAGAGGAACTAAAACTGCAAGAACCAAAAGTGTTCGAGCCATAATGTAAAACGAATCAGCCCCGTGACGAATGTCCCCTTTTTAAATAGTGACCAGTTGCGTGACATTTTTTAAACGCAAAGGAGCGTTGCGTGACGAAAGAACGCCGGGAAAGAACGGCTGCGAAAGAGACCAGCAAAAAAGGGAAGTGGCCTCGGGGGAAAGAGCAAACCTGTACAAACTAAAGGTAAAGTTAATTTCCTTGTAATTTTGCCCACTTCAATTTGAAATGTTACAATTAAAAATTCCTAACACCCCTAAGAATTAACAAGTCCAATCAATCCAATGGGGCATTTGTTGACGTGATAGCAGGAATTCCGTTAATCTTACTCACGCAACGTTTCAATGGCGTCCTCCCAGCCAATTTCCCCTTACCTTTCAAAAGCTTGACACCGGTGGGGCTAAGGTGCAGGGGTTAATTTAATAACCCTTTTGCAAAAAAGGAGGGCAATTTACAAGTGTAGCTATTGTTTCCAGACTCCATAACAGTAGCAAGAGAGAATGAGCTAAGAGACTAAGGGTGTGTTCCTTTCGGCGAATCCAAAAACGGATTTTTGATCCTAGATTTGCCAGATTTCTCGGTCGAAAGGAACGTGAAATCCGAAATTGGATTTGTAACCTTGGTAACCTTTCGCCAACGCGTGCAATATGCTCGACAGCCTCTCAAAAAATGACGTGTTTTCTACTGTTTGACAAATTATGCAATTATACCGTGCAGAATTTAGTGGTCGGCAGTTCGAATAGCAACGATGGAACATATAAAACAGGCAAAGAAAGAAGCGCATTAAAATTGAAAATTATCTAAAGAATGTCGGCCAGTTTGATCCAGTTCCATAGCTCGGATTCTTTCATGTAGCACGATCGAATGCCTGTCGCGTCTACAAGGGAGTTTGTAGTAAGGAAGCAGTTCATTTGTTACTTTTACTTATTTCTGATTTCAAGCAATCTTTAGAGACAAGTGGTCAGTATATGGATATTTTAATGTACCAGGAACAATCTTCTAATGTTTTCAGATGTTTTGGGGCAAATGACCGCAACGAGGAAACTCTACGGCCTCTATGGGAATACTTTAACTGGAAATACCGCTGGATCATCTGACTAATTTCGGATCCACTGTGAATGGAACAGCGTAGATCACTAATCCGCTAATCTGGATTTGGATTCTTCAGATTTCAAATCCAGTGAATCCTTTTTCAAAAAGGATTCACCAGATCAAAAATCCGGATTTGGATTTGCCGAAAGGAATGCGAAATCCGTTTTTAGATCTAAAATCCGTTTTTGGATTCACCGAAAGGAACACACCCTAAAAGACAGGCTCGTAGCAGGGGGAGGGGCAGGGGGGGCTCTAGCCCCCCAGAAATTTTCAGACTTGAATTAAATTCTGCTACAAAAGTGGAATTTTTCTACTAAAATGGACAGCTGTCAATGGAAGCTAAAGTTTCAAAGTATTGTCGATCATAGTAAGATTATGTACTGTTGTTCTTCTGTGCAATTTGGAATTGTGTAAATGAACGAAATCGTATTTTTGCTCTGCCAAAAACAACCAACAATATCTGCTTATTAAACTTCAAAATAGTCAGAAGCAAAATGGATCGAAATGCACCAATGACAATCCCTAAACTTGACCTCTTGAACCTTAATGGTTTCCCAAGAGGTCCGCCACTGTAAAATATACTACTGTACTAGAGTAAAACTTAGGTTTTTGCGCGTTTATATTGAAAGTTTTACAATGTCTTCGCAACAGCCGCCAACAATGAAATCCAAACAAGTCGAAAATAAGCAGGGAACACTTTTATCGTGGTATAGTCGAAGAAACAATCCGAATCAAAAAACAACCCGAAAGCAATTGTTTGCAAATTTTCCGCGAACGATATCCCAAACAAGTTCTCTATTACGTCAAAGTCAACACAAACGGAAAATTAGAGACAAGAACAAAAGGTATTGTAGACAAATGTAGTGATCTGACATGTACCAAGAAGTATGTTTAACCCAGGGACCGAAGCGGGGGGGGAGTTAATGTGGGCCACTCACTCAGCCCCCCCAGTCATTTCATGCTTGTTACGGGGCCGGAAAAGATAAAAGTCACTAATTGAGTTCATCACCTCTATTTAAAACCACGGGGTTCTAATGTCATAACTTTGCCGATGAGGAGAGCCTCGCGTTCCTTTCTGACAAAGTCAGTCACGATTGTTACGGATTAGTTCTAAGGGAATAAGGAGGACGTAACCTCCCACGCAGGCGTTTTTAGGAGAGCTCGTATTTTGTCCCTTCCCACAAATTCTTTGCCTCCGCAACAGAATTTTGTGACAGCAACATGTCGCCAATAATCAAATCAGACGGAGTTTATGCGACTTGTTGCGGCGACAAAATTCTGCTGAGGAGACAAAGATTTTTACAAAAATTCTCCCGCATAAACGAAGCGATTTGTCGCTGCTATGTGTCGCTAGCCTGCGTAGCAAGCGTTTCCGTTTGGAAAGACCGAGGAACGGGATTGTCAGTTTTGGGCGCGCGAGAAATGGAACGACAGCCAATTTTCGCACAGAAACGCTGGCTACGCAGGCTAGGTGGCGACGCAACGTGTTGCTGCAACTACTCCCCCCGCGACCTGGCGCGTGTGAAAAAGCGTTACAAGAGCAAACTTTGTCCCAAGACTTAAGTTCATGATTATAGTTCCCTCCATGGAACGCTGAGTATGAAGCTAGATTCGGAAGTCAATCGGAAGGATCGCGGGTCAAGAAGGGTTTGTTTCTAAGTAGAACTGACTAAAAAGTAATCGAATTCTTGATCGCCAAAATTAGCCGATTTAGATTGCTTTTAAAAAGGAACATTCTGCAAGGCTTCAAGAGGTACACCAGCCATTCTGAAGTCACTTCACTCGTTACATGTAATTTAGGCATCCTTGTCTTGGGGAAGGTTCAAAAGCTCTCTTGTCCCCTTCATCCCAATTTTCTTCACACCCCTGAATGTAGAACAGACAAGGTAGGGATTGATCAGAATAGAGTGAGCAACAAACACACTGACACAATCACTAACTCTGCATATAATTTATGAAAAATGTGAAATGAAGACGGCTAAGCTGCGTCATTGCTGCAGTGTCTCTCGGATTTAACATATTGATCGAAGTTTATCCAACATGCACTGCTGAAACCATTTAAACATCGTCAAATTTTTGGGCTACTAGAACTATTTACATGAAATGTTGGATGATGATGAGTGTGCTTTTGTTAAGGTAAGATTCGGACAAACAGCATAGAGATGAAATGGTAACAAAAAACCCAAAGATTGGATTGAGGCACAAATGCAAAACTGAAATACCAACAGTGTCAAACCAGGCTTTCTTCTCAATAAGCGAACAGACTGCGAGCAGTCTCTCCTTTTCTTCAGATTTAGTGAGGGGAGTGCGAGCGAGCGCGAGCGTCGAGCGGCGAAGCCGCGAGAGGCGAGAAACGAGGGCCTTAGTCACGCGCGTGGTCATTTGCGTATCTCGCACGTTTTACTCGACGGACCAAGAAAAAAGAGAGACTGCTCGTAGTCTAATAAGCGAAACGAGGGTTTTTTTTCAAAATTCACACTAGAGGCACATGTATCCCCCGTCTCTTCTATGGGGCACTTTCCATCTGTCAAAACTGACCGGCCAGAAAATTCCAGTCATAATGATAATTTCACTTGTAATCAGAACTATCCACAGAGATCCCAAATGGCATGCACGAAGGAATGGTGTTTCAACAAAAACTCTTGGAAAAAAGCGTTTTTTATTGTCAAAATGACTGGTCCGGCTATGGTCCGGCCGGTCAGTTCTGACTTTTGGAAAGGGCCCTAAGGGTGCCTCATTGAACGTTATTGTATACTGTCAATTCAACAAAGCTAACAAAACAACATGTGACGAATACGTCTGACACAGCTTTTATAACCATTACAGCGATATTTTTATTTCTATTATTTTACACAAAGCCAAACATACCATCTGAAGAAGTTAGGAAAATACTGGTTGAAATAAGGAGCTGTAAGAATTGGATATTCTGTTATCCAGACTTCGTCCAAATTGTTTGCCATGCTTACTGCCATCAACCTCGCACAGCGTTCTGTTGGCATTTTGACAAGTTTTTTTGCATAGTCGGATGGAGGAGGCTAAAATACAAACAAATTTTCCCTTGAGATAAACTTGTAGAGCCATTTTCGCTTACTGATACTTTGCTGAACATTAAATGAGGTACTGTACACAAAAACTTACCTTTCTTTCTGTACTGATAATTCCTTTACACATTTTATTGTTTTTACCATTGTTGTAAAGTTTGAATTTCATATACAGCTGCAGAGACTATCCAACCATCCTTTAATTCACCATCTACACATAGACCATAATGCACCTTGATAACCCCCCTAAAATTTTGACAACCATTGTCTTTGATTTCCCTTAGCTTGGCCTTGGGACGACGTAGACCTAGTTACAAAAATCCGGCTTTTTTAGGATATTTAAGAGGTTTTAAACGATAATGGTTAAAAAAATACAGCTGATAGCATAAAAACAAATTTGAGTGGTTCCAACGAGCTTCTTACACTTACCGTTTCGAACGGTCGGGCTCTTGTCATTCAAACACTACTGGTCAGTGGGTTAGCCCATAAGCTATGTTCACTTAGCATCACTGTAAGGCCTGGAAGCATAGGCCTAACATGGCAGAAGCAGAAGCTTTTGAGATTAATTCAACTGAGCCTCAGGCTATAAGTCAAGAAAGAAACAGAGAGGTACAAACGATTTTGAACGTTCTAAAAGCCCCGAGTAACAGTGAGCTGGGAAGAAAGCGAAAAGTTTCATCTAACCAGGGGGGAAATCGACGAGGCACAAACGCAAACCAACTGACTACGAGCCCAACGTTTGTGCATAGCAAACAGTTGAAGAGTTCAAGGGGGAAAACCCTCGAGCACGTAAGGATGGAATCTTTTGTGAAGCTTGCAAGGAAGTGTTGACCGTAACCATAGTTTTTAACATATACAATTTTTGCATCTTAACTTAATCTGTATCTATTTCATTTTTAATACATTTTTATGACTTAAGTTTATAATAGGCAGAATTAGTGTAAGTATTTTTAGTTTTTTGAGGGCCACTGGGTTATCAATCAATCAATCAATCAATCAATGAATCAATCAACTATCAATCAATTTATCTATCTATCTATCTATCTATCTATCTATCACTTAGTGCGTGAAACTCCGAGTTACAACTCCATTAACTTCTATCCTTTTCATTTGTATCTATGTATCTATCAACCTATCTATCTATCTGTCTATCTATCTATCTATCTGTCTGTCTGTCTGTCTATCTATCTATCTATCTAAAAAGGTCACACTTGACGACTCACGTGATGAGCAAGAAGCATAGCCTTAACAAAGGGAAGCTGAAGAAGATCGGCAAACGAGAAGATGACATTGTACAGGCTCTTCAGAAATACGACCAAGAACACCACCCCAAAGGAGAGACTCTTTCAACACCTACAAGGGTCTTTCGCATAAAAGTTGTTCAAGCGTTCTTGAAAAGCGGCACCCTTCTCAATCGCCTGGAGTTCTTCAGAGACATTTTTGAAGAAGCAGGCATGAGTCTGTTATCCTCATGTAATATACACCAGCTTATCCCCTTCACATTAGAAGAGGAATTAAAGGGCAAGGATGTGGGAATTATCTTTGATGGTACCACCAGGGAGGGAGAGGCGCTAGTAGTCTTGGTGCGCTTTGTGCATGAATGGGAGGTGACATCGAGACTTGTTCGTAATGGTAACAGGACTGAGTGGAGTCCAATTCGGTCTGTAATCATACGAGTGATTAACAAAATCGGACGACCGCGTAGCGGGAGTCCGATTTGTTTAATCA